TATATTTTGCATACACCATGGACACATAGCAGCTCTACTCATATTGAGTTTTATTCCATTTCTATTACATCTATTATTATGTAACCTTATTTTCATAACCTCAATTTTGTGATTTTTGTGTTTTTGTGATTTTTGTGATTTCTGTGATTTTTGTGAACTCGTGGAAAAGACATTTCATTGCCAGCAACTACTGCAGCACGCTGTATTGTTGTGCATTTGAAAAATAAACTTTGATTGATTTTGATTTGATATGATTTGATTTGACATACATACAGTATGTGCAAAAAGGTAACAGGCCCTGATGGCATCTTTGCCTCTCTTTAAAACAATTGCACAGAGGAATTAGAGCATGGTGCCCTGTCTTTCAGAAGTCTGCTGACTCTCACTCTGTTCCAGCGTTGTGGAAAAAAGCAATAATTATGCCAATACCTAAAAAGCCCTGTCCCTCAGATAATAATGACTACAGGCCGGTAGCACTGACGTCTGTTGTTATGAAATGCTTTGAGAGGATTATGGTATCCACGCTGTGCTCAGAGGTGAACACTGTACTGGATCCATATCAGTTTGCATAGAAACACCAGCGGGGCACTGATGATTAAATCAACAGCATTATGCATCTGGTTCTTAAACACCTAGAGGACAACAATGCCTATGCGCAGATGCTGTTTATGGACTTCAGCTCTGCATTTAATATGCTGCATCCCCATCTATTGATAAGCAAGTTGAAGCAAATGTCTGTCAACCATTACATTATAAGATGGTATCACTCATTTTTAACAAACCGTACACAGTATGTCAGTAGGTAAATAAAACTCTTTCTTTCAGAATCAAGATCCATTACCACAGGTGCCCCTCAGGTCTGTGTGAGCTCTCCAGTTCTGTTCACACTTTATATAAATGATTGTGCAATCAGTAGTCAAAGCAACTTCATCTTCAAATTCTAAGATGACACAGCTGTGCTTGGCTCAAGGCACAGAGGAAACAGCTCATCTGTATAGGTCAGAAATCCATAGGTTTGTGCTATGGTGTGACAACAATAACCTAATTCTGAATGTTAAAAAAACAAAAGAAACAGTTTTTGATCCCAGAGCAGTTGGTGATCACTTAGATTTACAGTAGTAATCCACAATGAACTTATCACTCAGGTTGATTCATATAAGTACTTAGGTGTACACATGTGCTGTACACCTGTGCTGGACTACTCATGTACCCATGCACTTATATTTCCTGCGAAGACTAAGAGTGGTTGGGGTTCAACAGGAAGTAATGCTGCTCTTTAACCATGCTGTAATCGAGAGCATTATCAGATATGGTATAACAGTGTGGTTTGGTAATCTATCAGTTCTTTTTAAATCGCAAATTACCCGCCTCATCCAAACAGCTTTGAAAAGTCATGGGAGTGAAACAGCATCCCTCCCTGCAGACAATCTTTGAAATATCCATAATCAAACAGGCAGAAAAAATTATATCAGATCCTTCCCATATCCTCAATTCTGAATATCAACCTCTTCCTTCTGGCAAATGTTTTAGGGTTCCCAAATGTAAGTCAAACATATACAAACATTCCTATAGTCTCGTACTTTAGAGGAACGGTCTCTGGCCACAGCTGAGGGGAAAGCTCTGTACGGGCTGTGCACTGATCTCATCTGTCGTCTCTCCCTGACACTCACTGGAAACTTGTGTGAGGATACAGTCTGCCTGGGAAAGCCTGTACAGATTTCTCTCTGTGACACAGCAGATAAAAATGAATGCGCTACCATTGATCACCACTAGAGGGCCCAAAATACCAGCAATTACAGCCCTCTTAATTTCATTACATGTATGTTCCACTACAAACACATTAACACCAAAAACTAACATAGAACAGAGGCAGCAACAACAACAAGTTAAATAACATACATCTTAGAAAATAAATCAGTGTGAGCCAGTGTTAGTGGTAGCATTCAGTAATCTGACGGGAAGAAACTGTCTCTGAATCTGGACGTACTTGCGTTTATGTTCCTATAACACTTACCAGAAGGAAGGGGGAGAAAAGTGAGAAACCAGAATGACTGGTATCCTTAGCGATACTTCCAGCCTTCCTGAGAGCAAACCGCTTCAAAATGTTCACATCTAAACACCAAGAATTGTTTATCATTAGACATACACTACCAGAGCGATCCATGCGATAGGTGGAGAATCTGTCAAGGTGAACGGCTGATGGCTTAACTCGTCCATCTTGTTCTCCACGGACTGCAGGTTGGCCAGGAGGACACTCAGGAGTGGGGTCCGATAGCCGCGGCGCTTCACTCTTGCCTGAAGTCCTCCCCGTTCTGTGTCCGTCGCGTTCGCCAGCTCTCCTCTGAGTCAGATGGGGGGTCTTCGCAGAGGCACCCAAGATAGTTGAGTTGGATCCATATACGAAATATCTGTGTTTAAATCAGCGATTCTCGATCCAGTGTTCACAAGCACTTGTCGGTCATAAATAATTGCTGAAAAGATACACTGGATACAAACAGCCCACAATATGAAACAGATGAAGACATAAAGATGAGGAGCAACACGTACCCACTCTCCGGCACCACGTTGATTGATTATATCAGCCAGTGATGTATCTAATTGAGCCTGCCTATACTAAATGCTCATGTGACTGACTAAATCGTTCTTCATAGAACCACACCGAAAGTTCCATAACTTTTCTCTCCCTAGCTAGAGAACAATTTATGTTCGTCTCTCCACAAAGCGATATCGCTCACTCTTAAAATATTTAAAAGAGTACCTCACTCACGTGTTGATTCCAAATCGGCACTCTGTCTCCTTTGGAGATATCAGACAGTAAACCGGTGGACTCCGCACTCCCAAAAGCCCACACATTGTCCCACCTCACTATAAAAGCTGACAGCCCACAGTGGGGAGTCTTGTGCGCTACCAATGTTATCAAGTAGTTTATGTCGGTTTTAGATCCAGCAGAGTCTGTCTGTCCCTTCTGTACCTCTGTGTGAATTTATGTAGTTTTAATATCTATTTTTTGTTGTTTTGGTAGTTTGTGAATATTATCTTAATATCAATATGTTTAGGTGAAATGCAAGTTATATTAAGATAAGATCATTTTATTGGCCATATACAATTTCTTGTATTAGGAATTTGTCTTTTCGTAAACCCCAACTTGCTCTCCATGAGACACACAGACAGGGAGAGAAGCTTGGGGCTAGAGCACAGGGACAGCCATTTATAGGGCACCCCTGGAGGAGCTGCGGTTAAGGGCCTTGCTCGGGGGTAAACAGAGTAGGATTTGTCTGCTGGCCATGGGATACGAACCGGCAACTTTCCAGCCACAGGCACAGAGCCACCGCACAGCCCAATATATTGCAATTCTCAATTGTCAGAACCTGATTATTTACAGCTGAGAACAGTGCACACAGGAAACAGATTATTCTCACTGGACCGTTTGCTTTATTGTAGTCAGGACTCAAATCTATTTTACTGTTTTATTGTGGACAAACCTGTTTTTTTACTGACCTTACTTTTGCCATCCAGTATTAAAACACATTTAAAAAAAAAATTGTGAAATTACTAATTTTGGGGAATATATAATCTCACCTCTTAACCAGTGCGCGAACGATTTATTTGGTTTAAGAGACTCAGTACATTCCTTTGTAGTGAATGTTGTTTTTTTTTTAGTTTCCCTAACAGTTATTTATATATGTTCTTGTGTTTGAAAAAAAGTAATAATGCAGCGTGGTCTGTTTGTGTTTTTCAATTTTAAATTACAGAAAGTAAGGAGGATATTTACTCATTGTAATATACTAGGTACACAAGCCTTGTGAAGTCATCTTGTGATCACTGGTAGAATTATGGTTGAAATTCCTGAAAAGTCACAAATTGATGGTTGTTTCCAGTGGAGGCACTACCAAATTAAAGTTTCATTTTTAGTGCAATTGACTGAAGTGGGACACAACATCGGTCACATTAGGAACCCAAGTCATCCCATGTATTATATACTGTATGAATTTAATGTTATACCTCTGGTTATAGTTTCACTTCAGTGCTGAGAAACAGGCACACTTTCATTGTTACAGTATATCACCTGCTTCCTCCTGACTCCCATGTTGAGTCTCTTGATCCACCTCTTCTCGAACCTTAGTCTGGACTTCAGCAGCCCTGCTGTTGTGTTCAGGGTGAGTTATGTCAATAAGAAGAGAATTGTACCAAGTGCTCTTTCTGCTGGGCCAGACCCAGCTCCTCTTCTTCAAGAGCAGGATAAACACAGTCTCAGGTGGAGGGTATGTAGAGGAGGAGAGTGTTTAAGGGGTTGGTGAAGAGCAGGATCTCTCTTAAATTCCTCTAGTAAAACTGTAGAGATTCTTATTTGAGGGTATTTGTTTGTTTTGACTATATTACATGTGAGAGTCTGTATAGAGAGTCTTTCATGTGTAAAAAGTGTGCCGTGTTGTATATTTGTGGGAGGGGTGGGTTTTCTTTAGATTCTTGAGCATTTTCTATTTCTTTTCTTTCTTTTTTAGAGGGTTAAGTACAGTATAAAGGGGTAATGTGTGCTAGATATTTTTAATATTATTATTGTGTATTATTTTAAATATCTTATGTGTTACAAAAACCCTGCTTGTTTTTTTTCTTCAAATGGTTTATTTTCTTTAAATGGAATTGTTTTTCTCAACATATCTACAAATAACAATAAAAAGGCTCCAGTTGACTTACTCCAGTGTTGCTAATTTACATTTGGGATTAATAAACCATTTGAATAAACAACAACAACAACCAATGTTATAACTATAAGATGATGTAATAAGAAAATATAATAATACAGGTACAGCAATTGTTATTATAGTTAAAAGTCAAAGTCTTTATTTCTGTTTCCCTTTTCATTGTAGCTCCGTGTGTCTCCCTGTTTCCCACTCTCTCCCTTCCTGACAGTTTCTTCTCATCTTTCTTCTTCCTTCTGGAACAAAGATGTGGATGAGCTGTGCAGATGTTCAGCTGTGCTCCTGTCTTTTTGTCTGTAGGATGGAGAACTGTGGACTAACAGAGAGATGTTTTGAAGATCTGGTCTCTGTTCTTCAGTCTCAACACTCCAGTCTAAGAGAGCTGGATCTGAGTGTCAATAACCTGGGGGATTCAGGAGTGAAACTGCTGTCTGCAGCTCTGAGGGATCCCAACTGTAAATTAACAACACTGAGGTAAGTGAACACTGGTGATTTCTTTGTATTTTAATGTTTTATTTAGATATGCTGAGACACAGAATATTGCCTGTTCACATGCTTTAGAAAATAAATACCTAGTAAGTACAGAACAAAAAAGAAGGAGGCTATATGTAAAGACAAAAAACTGCTGTGCAATTTTATACAAGTTCTTGTTTGTGACTATTGTTATTTGTTAATATTTCATTACTGAGAGATTCAATATGCAATATTTCCTATTTTCCCCCTCTTTTTTACACACACATACAGTATATGTCGTTTTTGGTTTAGAATTCTATGGGAAATATTATTCATGTGATTTCATTCATAGAGTCCTTCTTCATTTGAACACAAGGTCTGTCCAGCTTTAACCAATATCAAGTGAGTTATTTCATGGCTGCAGTTCTGACAGTTCTCAACAAGTGTATTTTTGCTTCTGAAGGCAGCTCATCTGGTGTTTGTGCCAGAAGAAAAAGGACTCCTAACGAGGATTTTTTTATATATTTGTTTTTCAGAATATTTCCCCAATTTATTTTCGTACCAAAAAATGTTTAGGATATGCCAGGTGTTCCCAGCCATTCTTTCAGCAGTTTATGTTTCTTCCAATATTGAATATTATTTTTTTTTCTCATATTCTCTCTGTTGTAACAGAAGAAATAAGGTTCTTGATCCCGAGATGAAGTGAAACAGATGAGTTTATTGCATGCAAGGAACAATAAAGCCGAAGTCTTGTTTCCCGCAAGAAACAACAAAACCGAAGTATTGTTCCCCGTACTGTTACAAACTTTTGGGTTATATACAGTTTTCTTCT